ACCTAACCTGTTACATGGTAGTTTACCTGTCCATGATTACCTAACCTGATACAGAGTAGTTTACCTGTTCTAGGTTTACCTGACCTGTTACAGGGTAGTTTACCTGTTCTATGTTTACCTGACCTGTTACAGGGTAGTTTACCTAACCTGGTAGTTTATCTGTTCTAGGTTACCTAACCTGTTACAGGGTAGTTTACCTGTTCTAGGTTTGCCTAACCTGATACAGTGTGATTTAACCATTCTAGGTTTACCTGACCTGTTACAGGGTAGTTTACTTGACCTGTTACAGGGTAGTTTACCTGTTCTATGTTTACCTGACCTGTTACAGGGTAGTTTACCTAACCTGAAACTGGGTAGTTTATCTGTCCTAGGTTACCTAACCTGTTACAGGGTAGTTTACCTGTTCTAGGTTTGCCTAACCTGATACAGTGTGATTTAACCATTCTAAGTTTACCTGACCTGTTACAGGGTAGTTTACCTAATCTGATACAGGGTAGTTTATCTGTTTTAGATTACCTAACCTGATACAGGGTAGTTTACCTGTTCTAGGTTTGCCTAACCTGATATAGTGTGATTTAACCATTCTAGGTTTACCTGACCTGTTACAGTGTAATTTACTTGTTCTAGGTTTACCTAACCTGTTACAGGATAGTTTACCTGTTCAAGGTTTACCTGACCTGTTACAGTGTAGTTTTCCTGACCTATTACAGGGTAGTTTACCTGTTCTAGGTTTACCTGACCTGTTACAGTGTAGTTTTCCTGACCTGTTACATGGTAGTTTACCTGTTTTAGGTTTACCTGACCTGTTACAGGGTAGTTTACCTGTTCTAGGTTTACCTGACCTGTTACAGGGTAGTTTACCTGACCTGTTACAGGGTAGTTTACCTGTTCTAGGTTTACCTGACCTGTTACAGTGTAGTTTATCTGTTCTAGTTTTACCTAACCTGTTACAGGGTAGTTTACCTGTTCTAGTTTTACATAACCTCTTACAGGGTAGTTTACCTGACCTGTTACAGCATAGTTGACCTGTTCTAGATTTACTTGACCTGTTTCAGTGTAGTTTACCTGTTCTAGGTTTACCTAACATTTTGCAGGGTAGTTTACTTGTTCTTGTTTTGCCTGACCTGTTACAAGGTATTTTACTTGTTCTTGTTTTGCATAACCTTATACAGGGTAGTTTTCCTGTTCTTGTTTTGCCTAACCTGTTACAGGGTATTTACCTGTTCTTGTTTTGCCTAACCTTTTACAGGGTAGTTTACCTGTTCTAGATTTGCCATCTCCCACCACGTCTGACCCTCCAGTGTCTCATACATCTCTGACATAAACACACATCTGGATGGTCTGTCTTCATATGGATGGACCTCTACAATTCAAACAGATCATTTACAGACATTATATGGAAAAGTTTTATTTTTCACATCAATATTTTTCTTATTTTTTTAAAAGTTACATATCTGACAGATAAAATTTCATGCATTTCTACCTTTATCTAATGTGATGAGAAAAACATTCTCTATCATCCAGTTTATGGCCATTTTTCTTTGTGTATCATCTTCTTTTTCTTCATTTCCTGTAATTATTACAAAAATCAATTAAAATATCAGTAAAATTATGCACATGGTTAAATTTTTTTCGTGCTGCAGTTCACTACAATAATTAAATCAATTGTGTATCGATAATATAAATAAGCATGTTCATAATTATCATTTACTGCATTAGAGGTATGTACAGTCAAACTTCGTTATCTCGAACTCGACAGGACCAAGAAAAAACTTCGAGATATCCAAAGATTCGAGACATCGAGGGTAAAATACATAAAGAATAAGTGGTTGGGACCTCCAAATCACTTTGACATATCCATGGTATTCGAAATATCAGTGTTAGAGATACTGAAGTTAAACTGTATATTAAAAACAAATTACAACTTTTTTCTGTTCTGTTCTTTTGAAAAGGAACACTATTTCATGATTTATAATATACTGAGCATGTATCATAGCTGTGCTAAAAATTTAACATGTACTGAACCAAAACAAGGGACACAGAGTCACAACCCTCAATTGAGTCCCTATTATCCTACTGTTCTTGAATAATTTTTCCTATAATTCCTATGTAAAACTTTGATAGTCCATTGTTGTCCCACCCTACCTCTGGGGGTCATGATTGAACAAATCTGAATCTACACTAGTACTTGAGGATGCTTCCATATCAATTTGAGTAATCAAGACTTAGTTGTTCTTAAGAAGACGATCTTTAAAGATTTTTTTTCTTCTATATACTCCTAAGTAAAACTTTGATCGTCCATTGTGGCACCACCCTATCCTTAAGGGCCATGATTTGAACAAACCTTGAATCTACACTATGTAATGAAGTTTCACATAAGTTGAATGATTTGATTAATTGTAGCATACATTTTTTTACCAGAATGTACTAACTGCAACAGTCAAACAGATTGTGAAAGATAATTCAATTTAGCACTTAGTGGCTTCATTCTCCCAAAGTTCAGATGGATGTTACACCAATCTGTTTAAAATCAGATCTTTGAATCACCACAAAATTCTACAAAAATTTCTGAAGACATCCCATTAAGAGGTCATGTCAGAGTGAACTTTCATGACCCCAGGTAAGCCAATGAAACTTTAAAGAAATCTTTCATATTCACCAATCACTGTATTTTTTATTTTGCAATCATCTGTTCCTGTAAAGTCTGTTGTAACTTCAGCAGCAGATAAATCACCATTGAAATTTTCTTGCTAGAAATTTTTGTAACCTTTGTAAACTTAAGCCTTTAAAACATGCACATCACTGAGATACAATTCATACCCATGCCAATTAATATCAGAAAAATAAAACTTATTTATTAAAAATTTATTTCATCATAATAGTATACAAAATATCAGGGATGTTTACCGGTAATTTTAATGATCCACTAACCTAGCTAATACATGTAATTCTAATTGGATCCTTGTTAAGAAGTCTACATATTATAGTATAATGCAGTACATTTCATCAAAATAAAAGACCTTTTGGAGTTGAACTTTGTGTTGCCAAAGACTGTGCACTGTACTGCTCTGCATCTTCTACACTGGTAAACAATGCTGTAAAAGGATTTTGTGTCAAGTCTCTTTTTTCAGACATCCCTGAAAATATTAAGTTAATCAATATCGTTGAAAAACATAAAAACAAATAACATACAGTAATACACTACTGACATAATTAATAAAATATTGTTGCTTACAAATAGAAAATCAACAAAAAATAATCATAAGCAAAGCATGTGTAAACATGTTTACTGGTGTTCCTTTAATTTGTATGCCATTTTGTAATGTAAACATATTTTAAGTGTTGAAACTGATAGATCCTGCAAAAATACATGGGTCTATAGAGTCATTTATCATCAACTGACTGATTCAACTGAAATTATTAAATAATTTCAAAGATTACATCTTTATCAATAATATACTAGCCCCATAACCTTTATCTTGCTGATGCTATGCGAGAACTAGGTCTAACCCTAATCTTTTGGTCCAATGAAAGATCAGGGATGTCCCTAAGACCCGAGAAATTTCCCTGCCTATAATGACATAATTCCCCGCTTATTCTGGTATTCCCCCTTAACCCTTTGTAAGGGGGAGAAACCTCAGATGCCCCTTCTACTTTTTTAATGTCCCCTGCTATTTCAATTGTTAGGGACAACCCTGAAGACTAACCCCAATCAGTTGAAAGGTATGCGAGTCTACTACTTTTAAGTCATATTGCAATGAGCAAGCGGATCTAGGAACTGGTAAAGTCTACCCGAGAAAAACTAGTAATGACTCAATTAGATTCAGTTCACGATATCAGTAACTCATAATCATTATAACTATAAGCCTCAAAGGAACAAACATTTTTTGACATTTTAATTGTAACAGGAAAGGAGGAAATGTATGGCTGGACCGGGAATCAAACTGGGGACCCCTGCATCACTAGTCAGGTGCTCTACAGACTGAGCTACCTAGACTGGTATCCACGGCCCAAACCATTACATTCCTCCCTCCTTAAATTGTCTTTACCCTCGTAGACACAACCCAAGTTCTTATTTGCCCCTGGCAGGACTTTCACCTGCAAGTCCAGGGGTGGTCAACGGCAACAAATCTGTAACAGGAAAGGAGAAAATGTATGCCTGGATTGGGAATCGAACCTGGGACCCTTGTATCACTAGTCAGGTGCTCTATCGACTGAGCTACCCAGGCCGATATCCATGGCCCAAACCATTACATTCCTCCCTCCTTAAATTAATAATCAAACTAAAAAGAAAGAAAAGGACAGAATATAAAACATTTAGATCTTCAGAAAATACACATACACATTACATCTGAGGGGCTTTAGTGGCTTAACAAAATTATAGGACTGTTGTGTCACTGATCACACGATATGGACAAGCGACACCACATTTGGCACATTTCAGTACATATTTAACTCTACAGTTTCATTTCTGTAAACCAGACAATTAAAATCATGAAAATAGCTTACTTCAAAAATTGCTTTTTATCCGGCAACACGTCAGTGTGAATGACCGAACAACGACTTCATTGGCATAATTCCGCATTTTCCTCAATTTTTATTCAGACACATCAAAATTTCATTTAAAGAATTCTTAAAGATTTCTTTAAATATTCAAATATATTTGAGACTCTAAATGATGTTCTATTATGTTATATGTATTAAATATCAACTAATTATGTTTCAGTATATTCATCCGCGTGTTGAAATAACTAAAAGACGATAAAATACAATACCTACATTTATTCAACTGTCTAGAGGCTACAAAAACGAAATAATTTAAACATTACATTATAACTGTATACTAATAAAGACAGAATACTATTTAAGTCATTATGTTAATGAGTAAAAATTATTATTATTTTGTCTCATTCTCACAATAATTCGCCAGTTTCGTCATTTAGTCAAAATACAGTAAAGCTCTTTAGTGTTTGGAGGTAAATTTAATTTTCACAACAGAGATGGATCTCAACAGTTTTACAAGAGTTGGTGAGCAAAATCCATGGAGTGATGCCGACTCTTCTCTATCTCCATTGCTGAATGTATTGAATTTAGCAGAAAAATTAGGCTATGTTCTAAAGGTATTGATTTTTTCAAATGTAATCTAGTTGATCAATATAATATGTTGCACAGGTGTTTGGGTCTTGTTTTTCTTAAATCCTATATATTCGGTACATCGAATTACCGAAATGCCCTTGATTTACCGAAATGCCCGTAGAAATTACCGAAATTCCCCTGGAAACTACCGAAATGCCCCTATAAAATATAAATATGTGGGATAATATGAAAGATTATGTGTTCAATATGTAAAATTTATCTTGAAAAGAAAAATTAAAAAATATTTTAAATGTTGTTTTTATATTTTTTATACAATACGTATGTTCATCTAAGGAAGACAACTCTGTAACCTGTAGTTGATCGTTATTTCATCAGAATTTTACGATACTTACTTCTGTAAGTTTAGAAGTTTTGTTAGTAAATTTATTTCAAGGGAATAAGATAATTGCAATTTATTTATTTATTCTGTCAATTTCATACAGATCGTCGATGAACCGATGAAGAAGAAAGCAAGGACCTATATTTATACTAGTATATACCAAGGTCCCTGAAGAAAGGACATTTATTGACTGACACTAAACAAATTCAAAAAATAATTTTTCTACACTGACGGTTTAGTTTTTATCCTAAAGTAATCGATGTCAGTTTGTGGCAAGCGCACACTTGAACAACAAGCTTCGGATATTTAATCATTTTACGAAAGAGGGTAGCCTTTTTTTTCCTCAGTTGTGTAGCATTATTTTGTTGTTGTTTTTTTTTAAATATCATTGAAAAAAATATTCTGAATGTGGACGCTTTTCAAGCTTAAGAATATCAGATACTCAGAAAAAATGTGATAAAATTTTGTCGAACAGTTCTTAAACATTATTTATCACGCAGTTATTCTATGCCGGTTTTTTTTTTTAATTTATTTATTTTGTTTCATTTATTTATTTTTCTTTTTTTCCCACCAATTCTATACTTTATATTGAAATCAAACATGAAAAATTGAAATCCCTCAAAAATGTCCTTATATATTTCTTGTGTTTTCCCAGACCGTTTCACGTGGAGGTACCGCCCAGGGATTTTTTCACCCTTTGATTCCAGAGGCCGGGGCCGTCAAGATTGGGAAAAATAGCGATATTTGGTTGAAATTGGGAAAAATATCTTCATACAAATAAATAGGAAAAAACAAGCAAAAGTGAAATACTTAATCATTTTTCTTATTTTTAATAGTATGAAGCTGGCTTAAACCAGCTTTAGTGATATGAAATAATAGTGGCTGTTGAAGTTCAGAAGCTTAAAAAATGGCAAAGCTGCAGGGTATGATAACATTGTAAATGAACATATTTATAAATACGTTGTCATCTTTTTTACTTTTATGTAAGAAGTTCTTTAAAATAAAATTTGATAGTGGGTTTGTTCCAGATGAGTGGTTAGCTGGTATTGTTTGACCAATTTATAAGAATAAGAGCAATTCAACCCAGCCTGAAAATTACCATTTGAACATTTTATTTCACTTTATGGCCTCACTTGAGGCAGAAAAATACAAACAACAAATAGATCAACAATGAAAAGATAACAAATGAACAAAGGATTAATTAACATATATACAATATTAATTTAGAGGTATTGGAAGGAATTTCAAGAGTGAAATAAACCGTCCTAGGCAAACTGGAGAGACTGACATGATGCACGTTTATTTATTAAGTAACGATCCCGACTTTAATTTTTAAAAATCAATCCAGCTTTAAAAAAAAGTATGCATGCAAATATCCATAGTATTCCGAATAACTTCTCGGAACTCCTCGGATGGCTCGTACATCGCACATAGAGAACATAAACACCTTTTGTCATTATTTTAATAATTTACAACTTAATACATTTTTCATATTGGGAATTTTTAGGTATAATTTTGGGAAAAATATGCACTTTTCAGCATTTGGAATGGGGCTGAATTTCGGCCCCAGAGAGACCCTAAAAAAATCCATGCCGCCATGCATTCACGATATCCCGCAACGCTTCCTACTAAGAATAAATCATAAATGGTAGTATAATATTTTTATTACGATATTATCTGCGATATATTTAAATTAATTTATTCACTAACAACTCAGTTAACTAGAATCCTTGCATGTATGTGTTGTACACCTGCAGAGAACTCGGGTGTGAATTTACGGCACGTGGTATATGATGCTATAGCTGTCAATTTTATGCATTATTGTAATTTATTAACTATTCAGCTTTCACTTTCTTTTAAGAAGAGTATATAAATTGTCAAACAAATACAATATTTATTATGTACAATATATAACTTACATACTTTGGGGGGCAATATTTTAGTAAAATTAACATGCCCAATAAAAATTATTTATTTTGCGAACTTTGTCTGCATGTACTTTATATACAATGACAAAAATTAAGATTGATACAAAGCATCAAATCGACCGCAAAAAATTATTTCCGTGCACAAGAAAAATGATTTTCTTAAAAACGCAGAAAATCTATACTAGTGAATGTTTTGATGTTCTCAGAAAATAAGGACGTAAACTCTCTCTTTTATGACTTATGCCCTAAATCTTTCTTACATGCTAATCCAGGATGATTTCTGCAGATTTTGCTGCAAAATGAGGTAAAAGTCGAAAAAAAGAATGCCGTAGTGTCATTGGCAGTTAAAGCATTTTGAAAGCAATCTCAACTCAGACGAAACAAGGACAAAATAAGGATATACAACATGAATTCAAAAATAGTGACTTCAAATATATACTTTAGCACCATAATTTTAGCAAGGATATTTCAGTGCGTTTTGGAAAAAAAAGAATTATCGACAAATATGGTATCGTTAACATTTTACAACAATTTCTATTTATACATGTATGTACCTGCGGATGAGCTGCGGTCCTAATAAAGGCAGTGTTGCGGAATTAAGTTATAATACTTTTAATTATTAAAATAAACATGAAATTGACATATTTTCATTTTCTGTCGTTGTGTATAAAAACAAATACTAGTATAGACTTTTGAAATCTGGAACGAATTTAGCATTAATTATTTTCGTTGGGAAATTCTTAACGGAAGTTATTCGTTACGGGAATTAATTTCAACAAAAAAAATTATAATTCTTTGCAATAGATACATCAATGTTTGTTTTAAGATGTGAATTAGATGTATTAATTGTTTCGTTTGAAATTTGTGAATGAGAAAATCGACATGAAGATTTGCATGGAATACATGTACGTTTTACAAATGTTCATGTTGTAACCCCAAATGCATGTATGGTTAAATATATTATATACAAAATTTCATGCTTATGTTGAGAATGAGAGTTGAAATCGATCTTTTTAATGAGGATGTTATAATAGTAAATTTGTCAGCGACAAAAAAAAATTGTTACTCGGTCAAGTTTAGAAATGCTTTTTATATCACACTTTGGTTTTTTTGAGTGGTGGAATGAAATTGTCAGTATTGTTTGTCGTCATTGTATAATCATTACGAATTTTTTGGTCAAATAACAATACAAATTATTAATCTTTACAAAAAAAATAAATAAATTAAAGTAAATAATTTCATGAAACACACATACACACACAAAAAAAAAAAAAAAAAGAAAAAGAAAAAAAGAAAACATGGAATTAATAACAATATTGCAAGAGTTATCGTTCTTTGAAATCGCGATATTGAGCAAAATAAACACCGTTTTTGTACTTATGTTAAAATTACGGCATATTTTGAATAAAAATTTAACATATTTTACAATAAAATGTATTCAAGAACATAACTTAAGGGGTATTTCGGTAGTTTTCAGGGGCATTTCGGTAATTTCTAGGGGTATTTCGGTAAATCGGGGGCATTTCGGTAATTCGGGTTACCCCTATATATTGAATATGTTAAAAAAAACAAGATCTGTTCGTGAAACACTGATGCCCCCATATGAAAGTCTGTGGCAAGGGCTAAAGTTTCTCAAATGCAAATCAAACTCCAAGGTCAAGAGATAAAAAATGTTGGTACCCAAAGAAAGGTCTTGTCACAAGGAATATACATGTGAAATATGAAAGCTCTAGCAACAACTGTTCAAAAGTTATGATCATGAAAGTGGGTCAAACTCCAAGGTCAAATTGTCAAATACAGTAAAATTTGTCTAATCTGGACTCTGACTGAGTATTCCAGAATTTTGTCCATTTCGGCTATAAATTTTAGTCCCATGCACTTCTTAAACAAATGTATTATAAAAAATTCTGTGTAGTCCGGATTCTGTCTATTCTGTATTCCGAATGGTCAAATTGGTCCCAACTACTCATAATTAACAGTAATTATTTCGTCTAATCTGGCCAAGCAGAATTACCTGAGTCACTTCAATGCAATTATCACCTTTCGTGGTAGATGTGCTAACCTGTGTTTACATAAGTATCATTAGACGAACTGAAAGTGGCGATGACACAATCCACTTGAAGAAATATAAAGTTAAGTTACAAGTAAATTTTAAAAAATGCTTACATGTTTAACTTGCTTTCAACTCCATATCACACTGTATAACATAAAATCAATAGGTACACGATTTACAAATCAAAATATAAATCGGGATCGAAACTCAGATGTCTCATTTCAAAGTGGTGCCATAGCATTGAAGGGACTACGTAAATGTTTACATAAACATTAAGATGTCAATTCAATAAGTATCGAATCATAAATAATTGTGTTTACGGTTATTGAAATAAGTTCCGAATTGCAAAAACCCACACTTGATATACACATGTCTGTAGATTTTGACTCTGTTAACATTTCACGTTGAAAGTCTCAAACTTTGTGAATGAAAAAGAAAAAATTGACAGTAAGTAATGCAATTTGCTTTTGAATAATTTTAGACTCCATAAAAATCAAATGATTTTGTCAATTTTATTTTTCCAACATATGCATTGTACTTGTCAATAAAACAACGGATATAAATTTCAAATATATTTCTGCAGTTTTCCTGCACTCCGGATTCTGTCTAATCCGGCCAAATTTTATGGAACCATTGGTGTCCAGTTTGGACAAATTATACTGTGTGTTGGAAACCAAAGAAAGGTTTTGTCACAAGGAATATACATGTGAAATATCAAAGCCATAGCTCCAATCAAATCAAAAGTTATGGGCAAGGTTAAAGTTTTTGCGGACAAACAGACTGACGGACAGTAGGGGTGAAACGATACACATCCTTCGCGGTTCGATACGTATTGTATAATTTTGTCTCGGTTCGGTTATTTTTGATACGATACATTTTGATAGAAGGAAGCAAATTCAATGTTGTTTTATGCTTTCTTTTTCTAAATCTAGTCACATATTTTACGAATTTTATTTGCAAATTGACTAGAAGAAATTGATTAAAATTATTTGACTGTCAAAAATTATTTTACAAGCTATCAGTCATCAAAAATTTACATTTTCTTTACTCATTTATACTGAGTAACGTGTTTTACCTTATGCCAAACCCGACTAAATAACGATCCCGACCGAAAAATGAACCGAACCGAAAATTAGAGATTTTGCACTGTATATCAAACCGAGAAAAAATACCGCAGTGAATCGATACCGTGGTGAACCGTTTCACTCCTAACGGACAGGTCAAAAATTATATGCCCCAAAATGTTCGATTACAGGGGCATAAAAAAGTAAAGATATGCAGGCTCCGTAATGGTGTCTGCACCACTTGCTCGTTTACATAGGTTGTTCTTTGAAAATAAAGCTCACCTACCGCATTTCGTGCCGAGAGAATTCAACAGGTCCAGTCCAAAGACTATTTCTACCTACGTAGCCATTGATAGCTACCTAGGTATTTACACCTACTTGAAGAAACTACTTCTACCTACTTTTACCTGTCTTTGAAAATAAAATAAAATAATAATTATGGCACATCTTTTAAACAGGTCAAACTTCTTGTTTATCAATTTGAAAACTTTTTTAAGGGTGGAGATGGAGAGGAAATGCATTAAAAATCATCCCTAAAACATTTTCTCTGAGAATGCTTGAAGATTAGTTTAAAATTGATACAGATTTGTAAGTCATTTTAGACCTCAGCTACCAGAAAATGAAACAGGATGTACATTGTAGTTGTTTTTTTTTTTATGTGATATTGTTAAGTAATCATTTTTTGCCAAAATTTTTGTTGTATTCATCATCAGACATCAGTGTGACTATTAAGAAATTTGGTGCTCACCATATTGTGCTGTTCTTGCGTTTGGCCACAAAATGTAAGTAAAGCAAAAAGTAGGTAAAATAGCTACCTGGAGTAAGTTTAAATACTAGGTAGATTTTAGTAGCTACTAACATAGAAATAGTCTTTGGACTGGACCTTTCAAGTGCCTCTAGACATGATCAAGAGGCCAAAGGGCCTTAACAGGTCACCTGAGTATAGTACAACTCTGTAAAAGGTTCATGGAATGGTAATTTTATAATCATATAATAAAACAAAATAAAATGATAGAAGATAGTGATACGTTGCTCAAAAACAAAAATAGGATGATCAGGGATCAGCAAAATAGTCTGTAATAAGCAACAACCCAGAGAGTAGATCTAATTTACTTTCCTGCATGTATATGCTAGTGCTAACTACACTCTATTATATTGCTTTCACCAGACTTTTCACCACAAATAGTGCTTTAGCATAAAACACAGTATTCACAAAGTGAACTCGGCACAATCCCCATACCGTTGGTTCTTGGTCTTTGAAGAGCATTTAATGTAAAAATATAAGGGGTACCATTATTTTTGTTTCATTTCATTAAAAAAAGTATTTTTGTAATACAATTTCCGTACATGACTGTAATAGAGCCCCACCCTAACCAGTCTAGATGAACTCCCAAGTCTGAAAAACTGAATGTTTGGCTCCATCATGCATTGCAGCAAATAATGTACATGGCATATCTCAAGTGAACAAACACTCTTTAATTCTACCACTTTACAAGGAAGACTATCGCTTTTTTACTCAACCGCCTGCTTCCATTTTTTTTTAACTACCGTTTTTCTACAAAATCCATTTTCGGTTCACTTGGAATCACGACTACTTACTTAAGAATCCCTAGACCAGAGGCCGTGCTTGCTCATCATAACCATGCAATCATTTGCCTGTTAAATACTAAGAGCAGAGAAAGCTTTTCAAAGGATTATATTGCATTTTCAGATTACAATGGGTCACCTTAGTGACTCAGGTGAGCTAAAAATCTAAAGTATTAATTTCAATGTTGCTCTAATACAAAGTCTAGTAATTTTTTTTTTTTTTTTATTAATAGAATAAAGAAGATAAATTGAAGAGTTCAACAGCATCATTAGCAGTGATAGCAGTGCTTAAGGAAATTACAAAAATTCAGAAGGAATTGCATCAGGTATTGTATGCTTCCTCAAATGAAAGACTCAAATACGTTGATGTACAACTTGTGTCCATTGAATTTTTTCACCAAAATGGTAAGGGCTGACATTTTCATTGTGGTTGTCTGATGCCAGTGGCTTGTGTGTGTCTGACTGTGTCATGCAAGCCTTCATGGATCTACATGACAGCTCCTAGCAAAGGAGAAATACAAATGAATTTTCCATGCCCTTAAATATTTTATTTAAATTCTATGAATTTATGTCTTTGTACTAGCTAACAATAATAATTATATTCATTTGTTGTATATTTTACTTGGTTTAATGGTTTTACAGGTTGATTTAGAGATCCAAAAGAGAATGCAGGACAGAGAGACTAGTGATATTACTCATCTGGACACAAGAGGTACAGTTTTGCAGCATTATATTTTATCCTCTTGCAACACACAATCCTATTAAGTATACATAACACAAAAATTTGATGCTTGGATTGATATATATTTTTTGACTGATTTTGAATGGAAATGACATGAATAAGCAATCCTTAAAATATAAAGAAATCGTAAGTTTTCTTTAGTGCTAAGATATGCGACTTTGTATCGTTTTCTATATAGTTCTGTACAAAATTTTGCACATATTTTTGACATTGTGACAAAATCTGACAAAATTTTCCCACTTTACCTGGAAAATAGCATTCAGGTTACCTATTTTTCCTATTTGCATATAAATCTATGAGAAATTTTGCTGATTTCTGAAAAAAGTTTGTGTTATTTATCCTTAATTTTGGGGTCAAAAGGTAATGGTCACAGAGTCAGGTATTTTCTTAATGATGTGGTCATGATATGTAGAGTGCTATTTGACCATTTAGTCCGAGTCCCAATCAACAGAGATGGTAAATCAGCAGAGCTGAGGAATTAACCTATTCATTTGAGGGCCAAAATTAGAGTCCTTAACAGTGTACATGATATGAAGAGTATCATTTAACTTTTCAGTCTCAGATTTGCTAAAGAACAAGAGTTGACCTAAAAAACACTTTTGTTTGAGGGTTCAGAGTCAAGCCTACTCAACATCAAGCTTTGAATTGATAATAGTATTATAGATTACAAGGGAAACAGGCCTATACATTATTTCTTGACCCTGCATAGTGACCAAAGAAACTAATTCCAGGGTCAGTGGTCAAGGTCAGTCATGTGTAAATAAAGTAAAAGGCATATCACTTGACTGGACTCAATTTGATACTCTCTACAGAGATTAGATACTTATACAACTCAGGACCAAAAGGTCAAGGATAGTGATATATGAATTTATTGTCTGAGAAACTGTACTCTGTGAACAAAATCATGTTGCAAGGGTATGCTCCATTTTGTGATGCTTTTCTTATATTTGGTTAAAAATTCCATCTGTTTTAACAGCCCTTAAAGATTGTAGTCTACATGTATGCACTTAGGCTATGTTATGTAAAACAATGCAATTTTATTTCAGAGAAAAGAATAAAGAATATACAAAGTTTGAATGGCCACATGCAATCCATAATCGACAGCAAGAGTCAGTTAAAAACTCGACTACAACAACCATTTGTTGGTGATTTTGTAAAAATTGAAGCACAATATCACAGGTACATCCCAATATATATATCTATCTAAACGTTGAACATTTAGAATTCTTGTTTATAAAATGATGAAATTATTGCACTTTTCACAGACTTCTGACACAGTTCATAAATATTCAATTCTAAGTAATTAACAGTCTGTTAATATTATATTTCCAAAATATCATGAAACATATACACTAGTATATAATCTAATATCAAATATCTGTATTCAAAATACATGCATTTTTTTTTACTCCATAAATTGACAGGTATGCAGCAGAACTTTTCCCCCAGGTAGCCCCAGTCCTAGCAGATCTCAACACGCACTTAGAAAATATCACATGGGTTAAATCCTTGTCCTTCAGTGATGGACAAATGGTAATAGTTTTCTGAACCATTTAAAGTTTTAAAGAACATATTTTCAAAATTTTCAACCTATACTCTCATTATGGAATAACTAGATCTCTTTAAAGTTTCGAATTTTGAATTTACATGGAATCGTGCATATACTGTTAATTGTAATCAGAACTGATACTTGTTTAAATGTTTAATGGATATCTATTGCAGGAAAGTTTGTTGAGTGAAATTAACAACACATTGGCAGGACTACAGACAACTTTCCAGTTGTTGTGCCAAATGAGGAACAATATGGCTCAATTTCATGGACTTGAAATAAAATCCTGACAACAGATTGTTTTAATAATACTGTGTATTACTTACATGTAGATATTAAATATATTTTCTTAGAATATTGTATTGCTTGATCCTAGAAGTAAAAATTAATGTTCATATACATGTACAAGTTTAAAAGTTTAAAATGCCTGGGGAGTTTGAATGAATATTCTCCATATGGCAAGCCATTTACTATTTATGAAACAAGATATCTCTCAAAATAATAGCTATATATTATCTTTTCTAAAAGAGATATGGGAGGTACATTTCAGAAATCTCTCTCTCTCTCTCTCTCTCTCTCAGACAAATCTAATTTATTCTGCCAAAAGAAGTAATCTCAGCATGACCAAGGTATCATTCAGTGTTTGGTTTCTCTAAGATTATGAGCTGAAATCCTAGCACACATTTCTTTATCACTAATGGCACTGCTGTATTTGAGAATTATTCTAGAGAAAAGACTGAGAAGAACGATGAATTTATCAGTTAGGATTTATTGTGAAATTTATACTGACATGAATGTAAATAGGAATAGAAGTTGCACAATCATTTTGAAAGACTTGTTCACTGGTTAATAATAATGGAAGTGCATTCAGTGAAGGCAAAAATCACATTTTATAACAGATGATGAAAGTTTCCTCCAATGGTAGAATGACAATATAAAACGCACATAACTCACTCATGTGCCACAAACACTCCAAGTTAAAAACATATTGCACTAAGTTAACTGGTCTAGCACAGTCAAAACAAGAGTAGGTCAAGCATAAGTGATTTATTCCATGACTTCTTTGTACTTTCCCCAGCCATGGAAACATTTGGTGAATTTTCTGTGTTCTTTGTACTTCATGGCTAGTAACAACTTGCGAGGTCTATCAGGTTGTTTATTCCGTAGATGTTGAATATAAACCTGTAAAGAAAAGAACTTGCATGTAACAATACCTAAAAAAAATGGTAACATTAATTCAGTGGATATACCAATATCTGAAGAAAGTCATATAATTATGTAATTCATGCTTTGATATGAGGAAGAAAAAAACCCCAGTAAGGACCATAAGGCTAGACTTATTATTTTTTCAGTAAGGACTATAAGGCTAGACTGTCATTATTATTACAGTAAGGACTATAAGGCTAGACTGCCATTATTATTACAGTAAGGACTTAAGATTACACTGCCATTGTTATTACAGTAAGGATTATAAGGCTAGACTGTCATTATTATTACAGTAAGGACTGTAAGACTAGACTGTCATTATTATTACAGTAAGGACTATAAGGCAATACTGCCTTTATTCATTATTTGATAAAATCTGCATTGTTGAGGTCAGCCCTAAATGTCCTTGGCATAAAAAAGATATTAAAAGAATATTTATCCATTCACAGTCTATCAAAAGGCAGCATACTACATGGTATCCAAAATAATGGATCCTAATTTGTCTACAGCTGAAATATGTAGATGATGGTTATGATATGTCAGCCCCAAAAGGTCAAGGACAGCTGGGATGGTTGTAATATCTTATTCTAATGTATCTGTTTGAAGATCGTTGATAACCTACATAGGTATGATACAGATGAACAAGTCAAGTCAAAGGTCAAGGCAAACATCAAGTCAAAATATTGGAATCCTGATTTAAGCATAAGTTAACTTAAGATGATGATCATCTGGATTAATAAATATCATGGTCAAAGGTCAAGGCTACCTTCAGTGACCATGTTGAAATAATTCAACCCAATTAACTTCTGTGTAAAACTAAAGAGAACAATACAGTAAAACTCATTTAGTACGAACACAGATATAGCGAATTCATGGATATAGCGAAGTTTTTTGAAACCCCAGGCAAAATTATTAACAAATCCTAGGAAAATATTACGGTTATAACGAACTGATATAATGAATTTACGGATATAGCGAACTGATTTTCTGTCCCATGGAGATTAAAAATAACAAAAATTACATCTTTTATAACGAATTTTCAATATCTTAAAATTTAAAATGTTAAACTGACATTTTTTTTTGAACGTATTTAGATCTGAAATTGCCTTCATCAGAAATCTGGTACCCCAAGTAAAATTTTGTATTTAATACCTCCCAGAACATATTTGGTAGTCATAATTGAAGGAAAAGTTGCATATTGTGAATTCCTTATATATACTTTAATGAATTTGTTATACGGATATAACGAATTACGTATACAGCGATGTAGATTCACAGGTCCCCAGGACTTCGATAAAACCAAGTTTTACTGTATGAATGAATACGATTTACTAATTCCTAGTACTGTATTTGTATGAAGTCAGATGATGAAAATTTTTAAAGGACACTCTCTTGCAAGAATATAAGGTCAAGGTTAATTCAAATGTCATAATTTGAAATGCTGCATGATATGATTATCTGAATTGATCACCCACAAAACAGGTAAACACAACAGTTATACACAGATTTTGACAGGTATGGAAGCACAGGCACCATCAATTCACAAAAACATTTAGGTTTTACTTTGCATTCCAGCTAGAGATAGCAGCAATTTTGGAACCATTTTCACCAGCAAATACATTCCATATTCACCCCCCTTTCTTTCATTACTAAGGCATTTTTAAAACTGATAAATGTATTTACCTGTGCACTTTTGAAGGCTAACTTAATTTCCACATCACTTGTTTTCCTGCCCACCCAGAGAAAAACTTGTTCTCCATTGTCAAGGATCATCACATCATCATCTGCCAGATCATCCTACAGCACAAAAAGGGTAGTCATTATTTTCTTGTTGTTAATTTGGAAAATAAAGATGGACAAGATCTCCTATTAAATCTTGACATTTTACCTGACAAAAATCAGCACATTTTTCAGACACTGAAAAGTATCCCTTTTCATTGGAACATCTAAACAACCTAGCATACTTCATGTAGTTAGCATCCTGTAACCAAAAACAACTGCTTTTAAATCAAATTTGGTATCTAACATCTAAATATACATGTAAATACATTGTACTAGACTTTTTGAAAATTAGTTTGTCTGACATGCCATGCTCATTTCACAAGTCAAACCATGGAAAATAGTTGAGATATTTTGAGATAACTTCCTTTATGTTGAATTTAAATGCAAAGGTATATGTATATATACACACATGTATATATATATATATTAAAAAGAGTATACCTTACCTTGTCATAAGGTTTCCTTCCACCTATTCCGACCCAGAAGAAATTTTCTGGCTCCTCTCCCTCACTTATCATTTGTATTGTATAATTGTCCTGCCAAAAAAAATCAAAGAGAATGAACCTCACCTCTTTCAAACACGTTTGAATACACTGTACTTCCTTCCAGAAAGAAAATGGCAAGTGATACAAGCTATTTACAGTACCTGATACATTTTATAAGCTATTTTTTCTGCAATCACTGCATCCTCATGTTCTGCCAGTCCCCCAATCCAAACATAAACAACCCCTTTAAGGTCTTGACTATCAAAAGGCACCATCAGAATATAGCTGAATAAAAAAAAAATTATACAGAATTACTGTACATGAACACATAAATGTACTCATTTATTTCATTTTAGCACGTAAAATGTGCATGTACATAAAATTCCCTTAAAGATTAAGTACTCTCTTACCAAAATCTAGGATTTAGGAATGAAGCACAAGGTTGAATCTGAAAGAAACAAGAAAGGTTGAGTAGAAATATTTTGTTTAGGGAAGCAAACCAATTATATAATGAGATGGTTTTAACAATTAAATATGAAGATTGCACCGAATTTGCTAATACGGTCCCCATATTTCTTTATAAAAATTTTACCTTGCAATTTATTCGCTCAATAGCTTAAGTGTACAGAATGGATTACCGGTACACATTAAAGTTTATGATCTTTACCTGAACACAGCGTGTGGCAATAGGACTGCCATTGGCTCGCAAATGGAAGAACTCTGTGGAGGGTTTCTCCTCGGGGGCATTGGGGAGCTTTCTCTTGCCATTTCTGATGACAAACATCCTCTTGAAGTGGGACAGAAATTTGAGATTCTCTTGCTGTTGATGGGTTCTCACTACTTCTAGTTTGTCCCCAAATAGAGATTCAAATTTCTTTTGTAAACTGAAAAAAATAAAGAAATTTTATGTGAATTGTTTCCACAAAACAATGTTAATTTAAGAATTGAAGATGTAATAAAAGTTTATTTAAAATATAGAAGTATTATGTTGTAAACAAGTATTGAAATAAATGTCAAAGTTTACAAAATTGGGTCATGACCACATTTATATTGTGTAAGTATTTGTGATGCCCTACCTGAATGTGAAGGTGAGCCAGCCCATGTTTGAGGCCATGCGTCCCTGCCAGAAGTACACCACACATTTATAGTCATCCTCAGGCAGTTCCTCCTCCTCATTCTCCTCATCCGCATCCTCAGGTAACTCTACCGGAACCCAGTACCGACACAGGAACACGTAACAATCCTCATTATGAAAAATTCCTGTCAGACAATTGTAATTTAAAGAATTAACTGTTCCCAGTCAGAATTTTCCTATTCATTTCTTACTAACCATTAAATTTACATATATTCTGCAGAAAGTGGTTAAAAAAAAGAATATTACATGTCAGAACAATGAACACAGATAGACATATACCGTAAATCTGGAAATTTTTATGTCGATTTATGTTTGCGAATCTGGGTCAAAAAGGTGTTGATTAATTTTTATGTTTCAAAATTTTGTGAATTGTCATTGGCGCTCAAATTAAAAAGCACTTAAAATTTTCGTAACAGTTTATAAGTTACGCATGTACATACAATATTAAGCAATGCCAACGTTCAATAATCAGATAAAAATATTAAAAGAGATAAAAGATCTTAAATGTGTAAGGTTTCATAACATTTTATTAAATCACGCATTTTTATTAAATCACGCATATAATAAAATAAATAAAATGATGTCAGCATTAAATAGCCTTTAGATAAAATCATTTTCTACCGAGTATAAGAAGAGAAAAACATCTAGTTAATATTGAATTACATAACACATATCAAACGATGTTTTTTATTCGAGTTGATTTATTTTTAAGAAAAATATTTTTGCGAATGCAATGCACACGCAAAT